GACCTGACTTGCGTTCTCGAAACAGGAACCCTGATCTTGATAGTGCTCCCTCTACTCCTAGAGGTGACTAATGTAAAGAATTCATCCGATTTGACCGTTGCTCTACCAGTGAGGATCTTGAAAGCCATCATGAGGTCATTGATTAATCTTCTATTAAGTAGACTGGGTAGCCCGTAAAGACGCCGTCTTTCTACTGCGCTTGGGAGAGAATCATAACTTATTCCGGAACATCGCAGCGCAAGTTTACGAGTAAAGCTATTCTGGACACTTTCCAAGAGCTTAATATCCTTTTTTTTATATGGCGAAATGTTACGATAGTCGAAGGATCCAGATTATAGTAACACTACGGACCTGAATCGGGGTGGTCTATATAATGTGCCTAAAACGGGAAACTCATTAGTCGAGATGTTTGGAACCAAACGAGGCTCTCTTTTTGGCCGTCAAATAAGACCACCTCGACTACATGATGATCATTGACATACGAGAATATCAGCAGTTTAGGTTGTAAAAAGCGGGACCATTGTTGGTTGTTTCGATTTGGATATCAGAAAACACAGCACCTTTGTTGTGATCGGACGTCTGCTAAACTGTGATATAGTACTCGGTAAGCGCTTTCAAGTGTCGATTATTGAACTGTTGTTTAACGCCGTAGTTCGCGCACCGACCGAGTTACCCTAAGAAAGCTGGGACATAGACAAATCTCTTGACCTTTGATAAGACCATCAAGCTGAGAGGGTAAGAGGTGGCGCAACGGAAAGCGCACTAGCCCAGTAAGTTTGAGTTGCAAGATCTAGGTCAAAAATTTGCACACTCCCTTTTTTGTGGTTATGCATTCCCACCGGTCTGAGAGATCGGAGAATAGAGCAGAAAGATTGGGTACGCTCCTCGTGGATTCTCCCAATTCACCAGTTCTAAAAATTCTGTGATTTTCAGCTTTTCCAGTGTTGGGAAATGTTAAGCGGCCCAGTTTCTTGGTCGGAGCGTGTCATCGCTATCCGAAAGCATGGATCGGTACCCCCCCCTTGCCAACACCTGCCTGCCACTGTTCTACGTTTCCCCAAAAATTTTCCGTCGAGCGGGGGAGGGGGGCGGCACACATGAAACAGGAAAAATCACGTGAAAAGTGAATAACAGAAAAAAATTTTTTCAAAGTGGCAAATTTTTCTCAACTCCACATACGACCTCCCCCTCTCCCAACAACCAAATACGACTCCGCGCACTCCCGGCGACCAAATACGACTCCTGTCTCCCTAGCGGAATATTACGACCTCACACAACGATGCTGTACCCTGGTTGGCGATAGCTCTAGCGATCTGGCCGCGAAGTATGAATGCGCGCACACCTACATGATGGTGGACCGGGAGGGAAGGAGCCGAATTCTGAAATGGAAATTGTTTGACCAGAGCGCTGCATAGCTGCCATATATATTTCAACCCTTGTTGTTTTGAAAGGAAATGAAATGCGCAGTGCATTCGAAGACGTTTCATTTGTTTTGCTCCTGCTGTGTCTTTTTAACTGAAATACGGTGTATTTTTTGTCCTCTGAAACAACTGCCCAGTAATTTTCAGATCATCCTTCAATTTCACGCTATCATTGTATTCTACAATATGGTGATGATCCGATGGACCGCAAGGGTAAAGGATGGCACATCTACGATATGGGTAGTACTCATGGTAGCAAGGCGAATAAAAAGAAAGTACCGGCCAAGCAGTACATGCGTATTATGGTCGGGTTCGTACTGCAGTTTGGAGGTTCATTACGGTTTTCTGTTTCTCTTACTGCCTGTGCTGTGGTGCCTTCTTTCTCATGCCTCCAAAATAACATTCGTGTCTCAAGGTAGTACGCGACTACTTTCATTGCTTGGGCCATCGAGTGACTGTGAAGCCGAATGGGAGTGCTCACCAACTGAAATGAAGGAAAAGGTGCACAAAAAAGTAGGTGGAATCTAAGGATGTCTCTTGTAAAAGTGAACATACGTTTTGCTATGTTCAGGTCCTGGAATCCAAGTTGGCCCAAGCAGCCCGAAAGGAATTTGAGGCAGAAAAGGCGAAAGACGCTGAGTCAGAAGGAATAGACTGGGGCATGGGATTTGACGAAGATGATACACCGGCCGTAGAGGTGAAATTTTAGGGTTATTGATTATTTTTTGTAGCCCGAATTTAGTGGAGCTCTGTTTCCATGTGTTAGCCTGACTTTTATGTACACCCTTATTTAGCTGGACATGGATGGTCACTTGATGGAGGATCGCGAGCAGTATTACCAAGCGGATCCTAAAAAAGCACTCTCAAAGTTTTTCGAACGTGAAGGTTTCGATATGAATTTCCAGTTCTCAGAGCAAGGTTCAGGACACACGCACAAATGGTTATGTACCATTGAGTGAGTTCACACAATTTTTAGGTTGAGACCATTTCGAGAAATTTCGACATTCTTTTTAATGTGGTGACATCTCTGAAGTGAACAGTTCTATTGTGGAACAATCACTGAGATAACAACCTGCTTTGATTAGAGCTGGAAGTTCAAATTACAACGAGGAATTGGAGGGGGGGGGGGGTGAGGTTCTGATGGACTTTCTACTAAGCGTACGTGGCCCTTCTCGGCCTTTCTATACTGGGCTTAGTCTTAAACTGTGTTTATGGGGCGCCACGGCGCGCTGATTCAAGTGCTCCACTGAGCCGCATTCCTTGACGCTACTCCTTCATGAGCATTTGAAAGGGGGGAGAGGTGTTTTACAGTTGCTAGTTATGGTCTTACTGGTGTGTATTATAGGTGTCACAGGCAAAAGAAGGCATCGTACAAACAACATAATTCAGGCTTCCCATCGAAATCAATGGTGTCGATCGTACCTATACGGCACAAGCGATAGTTTCAACCTCGAAAAAGGACGCCCAAGTACAATGCGCCTTGGAGGCGTGTCGAATCCTCGATAGTCACGGAGTTCTTAGGTATCGTTCTAACGACTTAGTTTGTTTTCTTGAAACATATTACCATGACTCGTAGCGGTTTTATTTAGATCATCAAGTTCTAAGGCCAGGACAAAGAGAAACGAGTTGGAAGAGAATGATTTCTATGACGAAGATGATGACGAGTATCTTGATCGGACAGGTCAAATTGAAAAGCAGAGAGAAAAGCGCATGATGTGGGCCAAGGTATGAGGTTAACTTGAGTAGATTTTACATTTTACGTGTCTTGTAAGTAACATGGGATTACTTCTTAGTCAAGTACACTCGAGATTGGAAAAAACGTTCATTGGCTGGCTGTTTTTTCCTTGAGTCCGTTGATTCATGAGCTAGTCGGTCCAGTGTCTCACATCTCTACGATGACCTTAAACGACATTTTTCTCATCATGTAAACATTAGAGAGATGAAAACACCGTACCTTATCGGAAACACTGGATCAGGTACGGATAGCACAAGCCGGAAGCCTTTAAACAGTTCGCATGCTGAGCCCCGTTTGGAGAGCTAACCTCAGAGGTCGTCTCCCGCTTAGTTAACGAACTTCCTCCTCCGCACTTTCAAGTTCATGTGCGGGTACACTCGTTATCACTGAAGCCAGTCGGGGTGTGTCAGTGACGCATGGATTTTGGCCTAGCGCCAGCACCTTTTCCGCCAGTTATTGAACACGCCAAGCAGCGACGATTATGAAAAAGAGGGTGGTGCAAAGCCGATACCCTTACACCACAGACACACCCCGACTGGCTTCAGTGATAACGAGTGTA